TTTTAACTCAAATTCAAACAAAATTGGTGAACCCTTATTTATTTGTTAAGATATTAACCTCCCCCATGAATGTTAATTTTTTTTTTTTAGATCCGTAAAATTCCAATAAGGCTTTTCAGAATTTTGGAAAAAACTTATAAGTTGTCCCCCCCCCCCCAAGAAGAGAGGAGGGGAAAAACTAATTCCGTGGGAAAATGGCGCCAATCCTTATGAAAAACCAGGGGGTGGCTCACCCTAATCCTTTAGTGACCTTGTAGATGGTGAATCCAGGGAACCTTTTTTTCAGAAGCTTGCAACAAAAGTTTTTTTTTATTTTTTTATTTGGCTTTGAAAATACACGACCACTTGGGAAACCCGTCATTACATTCACTTCCCCTATTGGGTGAGGATAGCAAAAAATCATTCCCTGGGGAACCAAGGGACATTCCTAATCACCAAACGTACAAACCCCTGGGTTAACCCAAACTTGCTAAACCTCCCGGCAAGCCTTCAAAAGGAAAAAGCAAAAAGGGAAGGTCCCGGGGCTTTTTCAGAGGGGTGGGGGACCCGCAGCGGCCCCTAACCCCCAAAGCAAACGCTTAAAATTCCCAAAGTTTTTTTCCAGGAAAGAAAACGAAAAAATAAGCAGCCAAAGTCCCCGGCAACCAAAGAGAAAAACGACTTACAAAGAGCAGTTTATATTTTTTTTTTGTACAACATAAACTGCCCGCCCTTTCTAGGTGTATTTTCCCCCCCTGGGATGGGCCCCCCTTTAACCGGGTAAGATCACCAACCTAACAAACCCCCAAAAGCCCCCCCCCCTGTTCAGATCCAGAAAAATTTCCAGAATTCAAGAAATTCATTTTTCTTTTAAAGCCATGTTGCCAGTAATAAAAACTAACATTAGGAAAATAACAAATTTGCAAAAAAAAAAAAAAGGTAACTCCTGTGGGGGGTGCCCAACACGACAGAAAATAAAAAAAAAGCCCCACGTTTTAAACATGGTAAATAAATAAAAATAACACATAACAACATGAAATATAAAATAATTAAAAAAAAACCAGCTGACACTGTTGGCAACTGATTCAAAACAAAAACGTGTGGAGGATGCATCTCCTTTGCCATCCCCCCTCCCGAAAGACCGATCTCCTTCTTGCTAAAGAAAACCTGGAAAAACACGGGCCCCCTTGAATTTATTCCCAGGGGTTTTTGGGGCCCAAAAGACCTTTTCATTGGAAAAATTGAAATATTTTTTTAAAAACGAGGCTTTATTTTGGGGTTTTTATTCCCATAGTCCCCCCCCTGGGAAAATTTTTATAAAGAACCTCCAGAAAAAACCAGGAAGCTCTGAACTCTGTCTACAGTCACTTGGACACTAGTAAATCTGTGGCCAGAATGCTTTTCATCGATTATAGCTCTGCTTTTAACTGCCTTGTCCCAGGTAAACTGATTGAAAAGCTCATGTCTCTGGGTTTAAGTGTTGCCATGTGTAAATGGATCTATAGCTTTTTAACTGACAGATCTCAGAGAGTGAAAATCAATGACTGTTTTTCTGATCAAGATCAAGATTCATTTATTTGGCCATGTGCAGTTAAAAAAACCACATTGGAATACATTCGCAAGAAAGGCACTCCGTGTGCACCGACAGAACAAAAACACGACACAATGCAATACAAAACACACATACACTGAACATAAAACAATAAAAAAAACAGCTGACACTGTGGCACCGATCAACAAAACAATACAGGGGTAAAAGCAGTTTAAAAGCAGGTAAAAGCAGAAATTAAAATGCTCTGTTTAGGCACCTAACAGCCTGTGGGAAGAAGCTGTTAGCATAGCGAGATGTCTTGCATCTCAGTGACCGATATCTTCTGCCAGAGGGAAGAAGCTGGAACATGGCTTTCCCAGGGTGGCCAGAAGAGTCGTTGATGATTTTAAGAGCTTTGTTTAAAAGTGTGGATTTATAAAGAACCTCCAGAACAGGAAGCTCACAGCCCACGGTCCTCTTTGCAGAGCGGAGCACCTTGTTTAAAGCTCTCTTTTCTTTATCTGTGATGTTTCCAAACCACACAGACACAGAACCAACAAGTAAACTCTCAATGGTGCAGCGATAAAAATTAAGCAGAATCTTAGAATTAGTGGTAAATTCTCTAAGTTTACGCAGAAAGTAGAGACGCTGACGTGCTTTCTTAACAACCCGGTCAGTGTTTTTAACCCATTTCAGGTTAGACAGAGTTAAACCCAGAAACTTGCACTCCTCTACGATCTGCACCTGGGAGTTGTCAATAACAACAGGAGTGTGAGAACTGCTACGACTGAAGTCAAAGACAAGTTCACATGTTTTTGCAGTGTTCAGCTGGAGATTGTTTACTTTACTCCACTGAAAAACATGTTCGATCTCTGCTCTATAAGAGGAATCATCATTGTCACTGATGAGACCGATGATGGTGGTGTCATCAGCATATTTGATGATCAAATTTGAGTCAGAGGAGGACACACAATCGTGAGTGTACAAAGTAAAAAGTAAAGGACTCAAAATACATCCCTGAGGAGAACCAGTGCTCACAGAAACAACATCAGAAAAACAGTCATTGATTTTTACACTCTGAGATCTGTCAGTTAAAAAGCTAAAAATCCATTTACACATGGCAACATTCAGACCAAGGGACATTAGTTTTTCAACCAATATGCTTGGGACAAGACAATTAAAAGCAGAGCTATAATCAATGAACAGCATTCTCGCGACAGATTTCCTAGTGTCCAAGTGACTGTAGACAGAGTTCAGAGCAAAGGAGATGGCATCCTCCACACTCCTGTTCTGTCTGTAGCAAACTGGAGCGGGTCAACGCTCACAGGGATCTGGCTCTTAATGAAGTCCAGCACAAGCCGCTCAAAAGTCTTCATAAGAACAGACGTGAGAGCCACAGGGCGGAAGTCATTGAGACATGTCACTGGAGACTTCTTAGGAACTGGAATAATGGTGGACCTTTTAAAGCTCACCGGCACCGTACAGCTCCTGAGTGACAAGTTAAAAATGTCCGTTAAAACAGGGGCAAGTTGCTCGGAGCACAGTTTCAGGACGCGGGGAGGAATGCAGTCCGGGCCTGCGGCTTTCCGAGCTGTGGTCCTGGACAAGACCCGCCGTACTTCCTCCTGAGTCACTGTGAAGGCACCCTGACATTCGGGGAAGACAAAAGGCAGGGGATCAGCAGATTCAAAGCGGCAGTAAAAGTCGTTGAGCTCGTTTGGCAGAGTTTGGCCAGCAGCAATTTTCCCTGCACTTGGTTTCCAGGACGTGATAAGACTGATCCCCTTCCACATGCGTCGAGGGTCCTCTTCCCCAAAGAAGCCCTCTAACCTGTCCCCATAGGAACGCTTAGCAGCTTTTATAGAGCGTTCCACAGCGTAGCAGGACAGCTTGTAAGCACCCTCATCACCGGATTGAAACGCCAGTGTCCGCTCATTAATTCTTAATTTGACGTCAGTGGTCATCCAAGGTTTTTGGCCGGAGTGTTCTTTAATAACTTTATAGGGGACACAACAGTCAATGCAAAATTGTATGTATCCTGTCACAGCCTCACAGAATTCATCAACAATCTCAGAGTTAAAAAACAGACCAGTCTGTGGCATCAAAGCAGCCCTGCAGCTTCATGTTGGCCTCCTCAGACCAGCACTGCACAGTGCGCGAAGTAGGTTTGTGCTGTTTGTTCCTCTGTGTGTAAGAAGGAAGAAGGAGAACAGCGGAGTGGTCAGACTTCCCAAAAGCAGGTCTGAGACTGGACCTGTAAGCTGCCTTCACGTTACTATAGCAGTGATCCAGGATGTGAGCTCCCCTGGTAGGCTGACTCACATGCTGATAAAAGTTCGGTAATACAGACTTTAAGTTACATTTATTAAAATCACCACCAACTATAATCACAGCATTGGGGTGAGCAGCTTCATGTTTATGCAAAATGTCACTTAAGTCATTCAGTGCAGCTGTACAGTCAGCCCGAGGATGAATATACACAGCACATAGGAAAATCACTGAGAATTCTCGGGGAAGATAGAACGGGCGGCATCTCAAAACCAGACACTCCAGGTTAGCAGAGCATGTTTTGTTTATAATAAAACTGTCAGTGCACCAGCGCTGGTTAATTAAAAAACACACACCTCCGCCTTTCGATTTCCCCGTGCTCTCCTTCTCTCTGTCCGAGCGGAAAATGGCGAATCCCGGCGGCTGAACAGCTGAGTCCGGGATATTCGGATGCAGCCATGTCTCGCTGAGGCAGTAAACTGCGCAGTCCCGGGCCTCGCGCTGGTACTGGATTCGGCTCAGGAGATCATCTGACTTGTTCGGGAGAGACTGAACGTTTGCAAGGTAAATGGGTGGCAGTGGGACCCTGGGGGCGCGACTCCGCACGAGAAGCCCGCCTCGCTTTCCCCGGTGTCTGCGCTTCCTCCGTCGGCGAGAGACACCCGGCTCCGTACGGTGGTGAACACGGGGGAGGCGCCCGGCCTCATCGCCCTGTTCCCCGTCTCTGTCGCGGTCCGCACGCCGCTCTCCTCGAGTTGGGCACTCGTCGAAGCCCTCACACCTCAGAGCAGGCAACACTGGCTCACAGGCCAAGTCCCGTATGTCCATAAGAGTCTGTCGATCATATGCCACAGTGGCAAGTGTGGATAAAAACAGTGAAAGGATAAAAACAATCACGGTGCACAACGGAGCTCTTGCAGCGGCGCCCTGGCACGGCGCCATCTTGCTTCACAGCTGGGGCAAATCGGCTGGTGATGTTGTTTCTGTGAGCACTGGTTCTCCTCAGGGATGTATTTTGAGTCCTTTACTTTTTACATTGTACACTCACGATTGTGTGTCCTCCTCTGACTCAAACTTGATCATCAAATATGCTGATGACGGAACTTCCGGTGACGATGAAACTGGGCATGGACGCGTGAAAACTGCGCTAGGGCACTGGCCTTTCTAATTCCCTAGACCCGAGATCCATATTCTGTCAAAAAACGTTTAATACGTTGCTTTAATGAGTGGGGACAGGACTAACAAGAGCAGATACGGGCTACGAAACTACCCGGACCCAGAAATGAAAGAGGACACACCGGCTAACGAAGTGGAGCTAACAGCTGAGCAACATGGCGACCGTAGCATTAGCATGGACATGATTCGAGAAGCAATGAAAGATGCCATGACCTCGTTTCACACAGAAATCAAGAAGGACCTGGAAAACTTCCGTTCTGAAATATGTGAGGAAATGAAGAAACAAACGGGGGAACTAGCGACTGAAATGAGTCAAAAACTTCATGATACCAACATACGAGTGAGTGCGGTGGAGGAGCGGCTACAACAGGTGGAGGACAGCATGGCCGAGTCCGAGAGATGGGATATCGGAGTGAAGAACACGCTCGTACAACTACTACAGAGCCAGCGGGCTCTCCAGGATAAAGTCTCGGACCTGGAGGGCCGTGCGAGGCGAAACAATATCAGACTGTACGGCGTGCCTGAAGGCTCCGAGGGCACATCCATGGTGGCATTTATCGATAACCTTTTCAAGAGCGAGCTTGGAGGAGACGCTCCCATGGACAGACACCTTGGCATCGAGCGTGCCCACCGTGCATTAGGACCCAAACCACCTGCTAGTGCCCCACCGCGCTCTATAATAGTCCGCTTCCTCAGTTTTTCAATCAAAGGGACCATACTCCACGCAGCTTGGAAGAAGACGGTACGAATCCAGGGTAAGCAAGTGTACTTTGACCACGATTACGCACTGGAGGTGCAGAAAGAAGGAAGGAGTACATCCCTATTAAACGCGCACTGAAAGAGAAAGGGATTCGTTTCCAAACTCCACTCACCAAGATGCGCGTCTTCTACACGTCGGGAAGCGTCCTCTACGACAGCGCTATCCAAGCTGCTGAGGATCTGTGGAAGCGGGGCATGGACGTGGACCGGGTCCTTGTCACCGCGAGGAGCAACCTGACTGCGGAGGAGACGCTGGCACAGCTGCTGCCGTGGGAAACGCAGACAACGCGCCGCGCAGGCTTCCAGGAAAGTATCCGTGAAAAGCTCAAGGTGTTCCGGAGAGAGGGAAATGAGACTGAGTAAGATTCACTCCTTCACCTGGTGATAGTTGTCTTCCTGACCCAAAACTATTTCGTAGCTTGGTCAAAATCCGCTATACACAAACCGGGCCAGTGCCCGCAGCCACAAACTAGCCTCACCGCACCACGTTTTACCCTCTATTTTCCTATAGCGGGTTTTATTTATTTTATTTTTTTCTCTTTCTTTTCTGCCAGTTTTGGCGAGGGGCCCCACTCTGCGGCTCGACCCCTCACAACTTAAGGACAATAGTATATCCTTTTCAATGGAAGTACATTGTTATGTTGTTTTTTCATGTTTGACAAGTTCCTGTCTTATTGTTACGATGTTGAGGTTGGGCATGGCATGCTATGTTCTCATGTTTGTTAATGGCTTTTAAATATTATAATGTACTGTCACTAAATGTAAACGGATTAAATAACTGTATAAAAAGAAGTTAATTGATAGTTAAAATGAAAAGGGAGAAGGCAGATATTATATATTGGCAAGAGACTCACTTATCTAATTCAGAACATGACAAACTGAAGAAAATGGGGTTCAAAAATACATTCTATTCATCACACAGAAGTGGCAAAAAACGAGGAGTGGCAATCCTAATACCCAACAGAATTAAATTTGAGCTAGTATCTGAAAAACATGATAAGAAAGGAAGATACATTTTGGTAAATGGTAAAATAGACCAAAAACCTGTCACACTGCTTAATGTATATGCACCTCCTGGAAGTGACACAATATTTTTCAAGAATATATTTAACTTAATTACGACTGAATGCCATGGATCTTTAATCTGTGCGGGGGACTTCAACCTTTTATTAAATACCCGATTAGACACAACAAATAGTGGCAGGAAACATACAGCCACAGAGAAAGCAGTTCAGAGAATGCTTTCAGACTTGGGGCTCATCGATGTGTGGCGCTTTATGCACGGATCAGCCCCTGGGTTTACCTTTTACTCTGCACGCCACTCCGCCCACTCAAGAATAGACTACTGTTTTACAAATAACAACAATTTACATAGAATAAAGGAATGCAAAATTGGCCAAAGAGACGTGTCTGACCACTCAGGGCTATATCTAAAATGACATCTGGATGGGATACAGAGGGAAACACTGTGGCGACTTAATACCGGTATGCTGAATGACTCAGCATTTATAAAGACTATGACATCAGATTTGTCCTTATACTTAAAAGAAAATGACAATGGAGAAACAAGTCCCAGTATTTTATGGGATGCAGCTAAAGCTGTCCTTAGAGGAAAAATAATTTCAATATCAGCTAGGCTTAAAAAACAGAAAACACAAAAACTCTCACATTTGCAAGTACTACTGAAAATGCTTGAAGAAACTCAATTGACAGACAAAAGTACAACTGTAAGACAACAAATTCAATCGACTAAACAAGAAATTGATAAGATATTAGGAGAAGAAGTGGAGAAAAACATACGGTTTATGAAACAGAGATATTACGAAACGGGTCCAAAAGCATCAAAATTACTGGCATGGCAACTCAAAAAGCAACAGGCTGAAAATACAATATACAAAATAAGAGATCCAGACAGCCGTAAAGTTGTAACAAGTCTGGATGACATCCAAAGCGCTTTTGAGAAAAATTACACATCCTTATATAGTCAGTCTGGTTCAATTGATAAGAATGCCACAACTAGTTTTTTAAACTCCTTGGATCCCCCCTCTCTTGGTCCGGATGCAAATGAAAAGTTGACCTCACCCATAACACAAATGGAAATAGATAAAGCCATATCCAGTCTTAATTCTAGCAAGTCACCAGGCACTGATGGGTTCCCACCTGAATGGTATAAGAAAATGAGGGAAGATCTAGTACCCGTTTTGGAAATCAGTTTCAATTATATATTAAAGGGCGGCCCTATCCCTCCATCATGGAAAGAGGCCTTCATATCTGTGATACCTAAAGATGGGAAAGACAGAACAGACTGTAAATCATACCGTCCAATTAGTGTCCTAAACACAGACTATAAACTGTACATGACTATTTTAGTTAAAAGAATGGACACAGTGATGCCATCGCTCATTGACGAGGATCAAACTGGATTCTTAAAAAATAGGCAGACCCACGACAATATAAGAAGAACCTTGCACGTTATCGAACAAATTAACAAAAAAAAACTAAAAGCAGTTATTCTCAGCCTAGATGCCGAAAAAGCTTTTGACTCCGTTCAATGGGATTTTCTTTACTCTGTAATGAAAAGATTTGGATTCTGTAGTGATTTCATAAAATGCATCCAAGCTCTCTACTGCTCCCCCACAGCCAGAATCAAAGTAAATGGGAGTCTTTCAAACCCCATTCAGCTCCAGCGGGGCTGTCGCCAGGGCTGCCCCGGAAGCCCAAATTTATTTAATCTTTTTATTGAGCCCTTAGCCCAAGCTATAAGGCAGGCGACTAGATTAAAGGGTATTCAAATAGGAGGAGAGGAGTATAGGGTGTGCCTGTACGCTGATGATGTCTTAATAACAATGACAGAACCCGACCTTGGTTTACCAGCGCTGACAGGAATATTAGAGCAATATGGTTCCTTTTCTGGTTACACCCTCAACACTCATAAAACTCAGATTATGACATTCAATTATCACCCTAGACAGGAATTTATGACTAAGTTTAATGTAAATTGGTTCTCTGAGCAGATTAGATACTTAGGGGTTAATTTACCTAAAGATCTCTCAAAACTATCTGATAAAAACTATAACCCTCTTAACCAGGAAATATACAGGGACCTGGACAGGTGGAGCCTCCTCCCCCTTGACTTTGGAAACAGAATACAAACAATTAAGATGAACATTCTTCCAAAGTTACTGTACGTTTTCTCATCCCTACCTGTGTCTATTCCTGACAAACAGTTCAGGGAATGGAATAAACATATCTCCAGATTTATTTGGCAGAAAAACAGACCAAGAATTAGATTCTCCACGTTACAATTGCCGAGGGAGAAGGGCAGGCTCTTCCCTCTCTACGGGAATACTACCAGCACAGCTAAGACCCCTGGTCTGCTGGTGTAACCCATCCTACTGTGCAAAATGGAAAACTATTGAGATGTCTTACAGTGATGCGCCAATTCAGGCTATATTAGGTCACATTTCCCATGAGAGTTTAACCAAAAGCCAGTGGGTAAATTTTTCACTGAAAATATGGAAATCTGAAGTAAAGAAACTACAGATTCAAGAGGAGATCAAACTTCTCAGATGGCCAGCCTACGACCCTGACTTTCCACCTGCCTCTCATGATGCTACATTTCGGCACTGGGCATTACATGACATCACGGCTGTATGTACGGTTTATGAAAAATCTAATTTAATGACATTTGAAGCTTTATGTAAGAAGTTCAACCTGGAAAAACATGATTTTTTCCGATACTTATGCTTTGTAACTATATTACTAAAAACATGCAACATATTAAGTCTGATCCTTCTGCACTTATTCTCATTTTCATTAATGCATATAATTCCTCTAGTCTTAAAAGTGTAATAAGTAAACTATACAGCAGTTTGACTGCACTCAAGACAAACTCAACTTACATAAAGCAGAAATGGGAAAAGGAGATGAACATTGTTATTTCAGAGGACATGTGGACAAGGATTTGGGAAGTACAGTTCTCAACGACCACTTCAAACACCTGGAGGGACTTCTGTTGGAAGAACATTGTCCGTTTCTTCATAACACCGATACAAAAATCCAAGTTCAGCCCTACTCAAACACACTGCTGGAGAGAATGCAGGGAAGCATCAGCAGACCACAGACACATTTTTTGGTCCTGCTCATTCAGCCATTCTGGATAGACTTAGAAAACATAATTGCAAAAACATTGGGATATGGCATCGATAACTCCTTTTTGGTGCTGTATTTGGGATGTTTACCCAACAACATGGCCGCAGATGATTTGTACCTTTTCAAGATTCTGCTGGCATCAGCCAAGAAGTCCATAACTAAAAACTGGTTGCAGAAACATCCACCTACTGTAAATCTGTTCATTTCAATTGTGGAAAATATTAAACTCATGGAGCGGATGACCTACACTTTGCGACTTCAGGAAGAACTGGGAAAGAGGCGCTGAGCAAAGTGGCTGGACTTTGTAAATAGTGACAGTACAGAGACGGTACAACAAATGTGAATTGTAGACTCAATGTTTATATTTTTGTATTATATTGCTAGCCATCCCCCAACCTCTAATGTTTGTGTTTAAAAATTGCAAAAATAAAAAAGTTTCAAAAAATATATATATATATGCTGATGACACCACCATCATCGGTCTCTTCAGTGACACTGATGAATCCTCTCATAGAGCAGAGATACAAAATGTGGTTCAGTGGAGTCAAACTAACAACCTCCAGTTGAACGCATCCAAAACATGTGAACTGGTCTACGACTTCAGTCGCAATAGTTCTCATTTGCCTGTCGTAATCGACAACTCCCAGGTGCAGATCGTAGAGGAGCAAGTTTCTGGGTTTAACTCTGTCTAACCTGAAATGGGTTAAAAACACTGACCGAGTCGTTAAGAAAGCTCGTCAGCGTCTCTACTTTCTGCGTAAACTTAGAGAATTTACCACTAACTCTAAGATTGTGCTTAACTTTTATGGCTGCACCATTGAGAGTTTACTTGTTGGTTCTGTGTCTGTGTGGTTTGGAAACATCACAGATAAAGAAAAGAGAGCTTTAAACAAGGTGCTCCGCTCTGCAAAGAGGACCGTGGGCTGTGAGCTTCCTGTTCTGGAGGTTCTTTATAAATCCAGACTTTTAAACAAAGCTCTTAGGATTGTTAATGACTCTTCTGGCCACCCTGGGAAAGCCATGTTCCAGCTTCTTCCCTCTGGCAGAAGATATCGCTCTCTGAGATGCAGGACATCTCGTTACGCTAACAGTTTTTATCCACAGGCTGTTATCAGTGTGAACAGAGCACTTTAATGATTTGCACTTTTATTGAAACTGTTTTAGTCGATCCATTTCACAGTGACTTTTGTTTACTGTTTTATTTGTTTTATTTCTGTCTTTTAATGTTGTTTTATGTCTGTATTTGTCTGTGCACACTGGAGACTTTTGCTAATGTATTCCAATGTGGTTTTTTTACTGCAAATGGCAAATAAACTGAATCTGAATCTTGTTTTTTGTGCAGCTTAGTCAAGAGTCCCTAATTTTTTTTTTCTTTTTTTCATTTATTTATTTATTCCCACCTCTGCACCTTCTCCATCGACTCCCACTGATGACTGCTGTCGTTGTGTCCTTGGGCAAGACACTTAACCCCACTTTGCCCAAAGCCCCCACTGAAAGATCAAGGCTATGCTCACACTCAGAGAGCAGCCGTCCTCCTGTGGACTCACCACCTGCAGAGGATCAGTGAGGGGCTGGTGCTATGAGACTTGGGTGGCATCTCTGACTGCCACCCCCCTGACCCAGAAATGGATTAAAGGGTAGAAAATGGATGGATGGATGGATATTTGAGCTGAAACTTATTTAAAACATTTTACAGAAGAAAACAAAACAAGACTATTGTGCTCAAAAGGAGTAGGAAGAAGTTCAAAGAACTTATAATAAACCTACCCCTTATCTCTCATTCAAGTAACACAAAATATCACAAAGGATTTATCATTTACAGTCGTACAAAATAAATAAAGGATTTATCATTTACAGTTGTACAAAAATAAATACACAATATGGTATTTAATATGTATAGCAATTATATTGCAACATCACTTCATCTGACTGGAATCGACACATTTTTTACAAACTCAATGCATTGAACTTATGCATGTGTAAACGTTTGGTTTTAGTGAGTTTTTTTTTTTCTTCTTTTTTTTCATCCCTCTCTACGAATCTCAATCCTCATATACGGGCAAACCCCATAACAACAACAAAAAAGCGCGAGTGTGTGCCTGTCTGTGAAAATAATAGTTCACTAGCATAATTTTTAAAGATAATGTCTTTACATATTTTTTTAAAGTGTACTAGTGTTTTGCTCTGTTTTGTCTCTTTATTTAGGTCATTCCACAATGTTATTCCTGCTTAGGAGATACACATACTTTTGAGGGTGGTGTGAACACAATGTTTCCTCATCACAAATTCTCCTCTTAAATTATAAGTTCCTTCTCTACTGCTGAACAATTTCTGAGTGTTCCTAGGGAGAAGGTCACGACTTGCTTTGTATAATACAACAAGTGTTTTAAATTTAATTAAGTCTTCAATTTTCATTATACGAGATGCTAATTGATGAAGTCGACTCAGATTCTGACGATTTAACTGTCAAGAAGAAACCTGTAAAAAAGTATGGAAAAAGAAAAATCAAAAATACTTTTCTTTAAGACTCGGAAAGTGACGAACCAAAGGCAAAGAAGATTGTTATCATGCAGCTGTTCCCTGGACACAGTGCAGCAGGTGGGGACAGGAGGGTCCTGAGCAAACTAACATCTATGCTGGACCATGACTGTCGCCCCCTGCAGGACACTCTCTCTGCTCTGGAGAGCAGCTTCAGTGACAGACTAATTCACCCTCGATGTGTGAAGGAGAGGTTTCGTAGGTCTTTCCTTCCTGCTGCTGTCAGACTGTACAATAAGAACTGCTGAGCCTGTAAATTTAATTCATCTGTAATTAAGTACATTCTTAAATCATGTGCAATGTGCAATACTGCAACTTCAGAATGTCTCTTTACCTCATGTCACTTTACCTCATGTCTCTTTACCTCATGTCTCTTTACCTCATGTCTCTTTACCTCATGTCTCTTTACCTCATGTCTCTTTACCTCATGTCTCTTTACCTCATGTCTCTTTACCTCATGTCTCTTTACCTCATGTCTCTTTACCTCATGTCTCTTTACCTCATGTCTCTTTTTACCTCATGTCTCTTTACCTCATGTCTCTTTACCTCATGTCTCTTTACCTCATGTCTCTTTACCTCATGTCTCTTTACCTCATGTCTCTTACCTCATGTCTCTTTACCTCATGTCTCGTTACCTCATGTCTCGTTACCTCATCATGTCACTTTACCTCATGTCTCTTTACCTCATGTCTCTTTACCTCATGTCTCTTTACCTCATGTCTCTTTACCTTATGTCTCTTTACCTCATGTTTCGTTACCTCATGTCTCTTTACCTCATGTCTCTTTACCTCATGTCTCTTTACCTCATGTCTCTTTACCTCATGTCTCTTTACCTCATGTCTCTTTACCTCATGTCTCTTTACCTCATGTCTCTTTACCTCATGTCTCTTTACCTCATGTCTCTTTACCTCATGTCTCTTTACCTCATGTCTCTTTACCTCATGTCTCTTTACCTCATGTCTCTTTACCTCATGTCTCGTTACCTCATGTCTCTTTACCTCATGTCTCGTTACCTCATGTCTCGTTACCTCATGTCACTTTACCTCATGTCTCTTTACCTCATGTCTCTTTACCTCATGTCTCTTTACCTCATGTCTCTTTACCTTATGTCTCTTTACCTCATGTTTCGTTACCTCATGTCTCTTTACCTCATGTCTCTTTACCTCATGTCTCTTTACCTCATGTCTCTTTACCTCATGTCTCTTTACCTCATGTCTCTTTACTTATCTACTTATTATCCTGCACTATTTAACTGTACAGTATATAACTGCACTACTACATATATATATTTTGACTGGTATTGAAGCATTTTCAGCATCTACAGCTAGTTATGTAAGAAACATAGCTACTACTTATTTGTTTATAGTGTATATATTGTGTGTGATCCCTGTGTGCTCTTACTACTGTCCTATATGTGCGCTGCAACAACAAAATTTCCCCACTGTGGGACGAATAAAGGAATTCTTATCTTATCTTATCTTATCTTATCAAAAGAAGAAAAATGGGGGGCGAGTTTACAGCAAGAGACACTTCTGCCTCTACTGTTCAATGTCCTGCCACAAAATGTCCCGTCATTTGACTAGAAAACATGGAAATGAAAGTGACGTAGCCAGAGCATTGGCTCTACCTGTGAAATCTAAAGCACGTAAACTTCAGTTTGATTTGATCAGGAATAGTGGAAACCGTGAGCACAATGTTGAGGTTTTAAAGGCCGGCATTGGAACTTTAGTCCCAGCTAAACAGCCAAATTCCCCAGTTAAATCCAGTGAGTTTTTGCACTGTATAGACTGTGGGGCATTGCTTAAGCGAAAGTGGCTGTGGAGGCATGTGGCCAGGTGCCGGCTTTCACAGAAAGATGCCCAGGCTAAACCAGGCTAAACCAGGTAGAAGTAGGGTCCAGTCCCTCTGCTCCCTAGCCCAGCCTGTACCGGAGGGCATCAGCAAAAAGCTGTGGTCTTTAATTTGGGCAATGCATCAGGATGAGGTCACGGGTGTTGTCAAAGCAGAAAAGGGGATTCTGAGACTCGGAGAGCACCTGTACTTAAAACACGGGCATGATAAGACTAAGCATGATTACATTAGGCAGAAAATGAGAGAAGTCGGTAGGTTAATTAACGAAGCAAAAACCGCAGGGAAACTGAAAACAATGAAGGATTTCTTTATTCCTTCCAACTTTAACCATGTGATTGATGCAGTCAGGTCTGTGGCTGGATATGATGAGGAAACAAATCAATACAAGACTCCATCCTTGGCCCTCAAACTCGGCCATAGCCTCAGAAAGCAGATATTCTTGAATGTGACTCAAAAATGGAGCATTGTGTTGATGAACTATTTATTAAAAACCTCCAACGAAGCCGGCTGCTTTTTGAGAAGAGGTGGGACGTCTGTGTTTCTTCTGCTGCCCTACAGACCCTCCGGCAAGCCAAGTGGAACACTCCGGACATGCTCCCTCTGACTGAGGACGTTAGAGCCATGCATGCACATATTGAGGTATGTCGACCTGAATATGTGCAAACCCTAATAAGTGAGCCAACGTCTAAGCATTGGTCTAAACTGGCAGTTTTGACTCTTTGTGAGGTCATTATTTTCAATCGAAGAAGGGAAGGTGAGGTTTCAAAGATGCCACTGACAGCGTTTACCTTAAGAAGTAAGACTGGGATCCATTCTGACATTGCTCTGGGACTGTCCCAACTTGAGAAAAAGCTGTGTCAGCATTTTCAACGCATTGAAATTAAAGGGAAAAGAAGTGGGAAAGTGGTGGTTCTTTTGACTCCTGAAATGATTGCTTCGATGGAGGTGCTGGTGGAGAACAGAAGGGCCTGTTCCATCTCTGACCATAACCCATACTTCTTCTCCCGCCCGGGCGCAGACACCCACATCAGGGGATCAGACTCCCTACGGCAGGTAGCCAAAGAATGTGGTGCGGTGCATCCAGAGATGCTATCCTCAACCAAACTTAGAAAACACATAGCTACTATGTCTACAGTTCTCAATATGAAAGAGAATGAGATGGACATACTTGCCAACTTCCTCGGCCATGACATTCGCATCCACAGGCAATATTACAGACTACCAGAGGGGACACTGGAGCTGGCCAAAATCAGCAAAGTGTTGATGGCCATGGAGCAGGGAAGAGTGACGGAATTCAAAGGAAAGAGCCTCGACCAGATACAAATTGAGCCTGAAGGTAATTCTTGATATTATTAAAATATGTATGATTTTTTTCCCCTAAAGGCCACTTGTATTTTTATTTTCTGTGCGACAGGGAGAGCAGTAGAGATCCTCTCACAAACGGACGGGCTAAAAGAAACTTCAAGCGGAGAACCTTCAACCATTCATCCAGATGCACCCCATGGTAGTGGCAGTGCCCCTTCTGGTAAGTGTACCAGGTGGGGGATTACAGCCAGGCTGCTTGGTCCTCACCCTGGGAGTGTATATTGCTAATATATTTTTATTTCTCTCCCTAGAACGTGTAAGAAAGCCATGGTCTGCATCTGAGGTGAAGGCTGTGGAGAAGACCATGACACCTTTCATACAGACTGGAAAGGTCCCTGGGAAGTCTCACTGCCTGGCCTGCATTAATGCCTCACCAGATGACCTTAGACATCGGACATGGAGTGGCATTAAATTCTATGTCAAAAATAGAATCACTGCAATTCGAAAAAAAAAAAATCAGAAATAAAATTCCTTTAAAAGAGTTGTTTGTTTTCTATTGACTGTTTTGTATTACTTAAAGTAGTCCCAGTAAAAAAAGATTATGTCTATGGGTCCCATTCTGAACGGCCCTGTCAAAGGGACCCACCAGGTAACAAAAACGTGTGTGTGTGTGTGTGTCTCTGTGTGTGTGTGTATGTTTATATGTATGTGTGTGTGTGTATGTATGTGTGTGCGCATGTTTGTGTGTGTGCATGTGTGTGTGTGTGTATGTATGTGTGCGCGCGTATGTTTATGTGTGCGTATTTGTGTGTGTGTGCGTGCGTGCGTGTGTGTGTATATAGTATATACGTGTATACAAGTATAAAGTCCCACACACCTGTACAGTGTCGTTGAGAAGCAGAGCATCAAACTGGGACAGATACTGCACATGGTACCTCTGAACCACAGAGCTGTACTTTACCATCAGCTCCCGGAGTTTCAGGAAGTAGTACAACAACTCTGCCATCTGACTGTAGAAGAAACACATCTGACTGTAGAAGACACACATCTGACTGTAGAAGAAACACATCTGACTGTAGAAGACACACATCTGACTGTAGAAGACACACATCTGACTGTAGAAGAAACACATCTGACTGTAGAAGACACACATCTGACTGTAGAAGAAACACATCTGACTGTAGAAGACACACATCTGACTGTAGAAGGAACACATCTGACTGTAGAAGACACACATCTGACTGTAGAAGACACACATCTGACTGTAGAAGAAACACATCTGACTGTAGAAGAAACACATCTGACTGTAGAAGAAACACATCTGACTGTAGAAGACACACATCTGACTGTAGAAGAAACACATCTGACTGTAGAAGACACACATCTGACTGTAGAAGACACACATCTGACTGTAGAAGGAACACATCTGACTGTAGAAGACACACATCTGACTGTAGAAGAAACACATCTGACTGTAGAAGACACACATCTGACTGTAGAAGACACACATCTGACTGTAGAAGACACACATCTGACTGTAGAAGACACACATCTGACTGTAGAAGAAACACATCTGACTGTAGAAGACACACATCTGACTGTAGAAGACACACATCTGACTGTAGAAGGAACACATCTGACTGTAGAAGACACACATCTGACTGTAGAAGACACACATCTGACTGTAGAAGACACACATCTGACTGTAGAAGACACACATCTGACTGTAGAAGAAACACATCTGACTGTAGAAGACACACATCTGACTGTAGAAGACACACATCTGACTGTAGAAGACACACATCTGACTGTAGAAGAAACACATCTGACTGTAGAAGACACACATCTGACTGTAGAAGACACACATCTGACTGTAGAAGACACACATCTGACTGTAGAAGACACACATCTGACTGTAGAAGACACACATCTGACTGTAGAAGAAACACATCTGACTGTAGAAGACACACATCTGACTGTAGAAGAAACACATCTGACTGTAGAAGACACACATCTGACTGTAGAAGACACACATCTGACTGTAGAAGACACACATCTGACTGTAGAAGACACACATCTGACTGTAGAAGACACACATCTGACTGTAGAAGACACGCATCTGACTGTAGAAGACACACATCTGACTGTAGAAGACACACATCTGACTGTAGAAGACACACATCTGACTGTAGAAGACACACATCTGACTGTAGAAGACACACATCTGACTGTAGAAGAAACACATCTGACTGTAGAAGACACACATCTGACTTTAGAAGACACACATCTGACTGTAGAAGACACACATCTGACTGTAGAAGACACACATCTGACTGTAGAAGACACACATCTGACTGTAGAAGACACACATCTGACTGTAGAAGACACGCATCTGACTGTAGAAGACACACATCTGACTGTAGAAGACACACATCTGACTGTAGAAGACACACATCTGACTGTAGAAGACACGCATCTGACTGTAGAAGAAGAAAGTGAATTTTTCCTCACATAATTCAAATGTGCATAATTCAAATGTGAATAATTAAAAGTGATTAACGTGTTTTACGTGTCGACAAAATCCTCCGGTGTCTTGGTCTTTGGCATCGAGTCAGAATGTCTGACGAGCCACAGGACCTCGTCTCTGGAGAAGGACAGAGCCATGAAAACCAGCAGCGCCTGGTCAGAGGTTAGAGGTCACAGGTCAGATGCTAGAGGTCACAGGTCAGAGGTCAAAGGTCAAAGGTTAGAGGTTAGGGTATCATGTCAAAGGCAGGACACTTCAGGAGGAAGTTAGACCTGGGGTCAGGGTTAGGGTCAGGGTTAGGGTTACACTGTAGTGTGTACTACCTGTGATACACTGTGGTACCTGTGGTACACTGTGGTACACTGTGGTACCTGTGGTACACTGTGGTACCTGTGGTACCTGTGGTACACTGTGGTACCTGTGGTACACTGTGGTACACTGTGGTACCTGTGGTACACTGTGGTACCTGTGGTACCTGTGGTACCACAGGTACCACAGTGTCAGTGCTGGTCCTACTGGACCTTAGTGCTGCATTTGACACAATAGACCACAGCATTCTACTGCAGAGGCTAGAATGTGATATAGGTCTTAGAGGAACAGCCCTTGGCTGGTTTAAATCCTATTTATCAGATCGATATCACTTCGTCAATGTGAATCAGGACTCGTCGCCTTATTCTGGAGTGGAATTCGGTGTGCCGCAGGGTTCGGTACTCGGACCGATTCTTTTTACTCTCTACATGCTGCCACTGGGAAACATTATTAAAAAGCATGGAATTAATTTCCACTGCTATGCAGATGACACACAGCTTTATCTGTCGATGAAGCCTAATCAGACAGATCAGCTAGAAAAGCTCAGTGCCTGCATAAAGGACCTTAAAATGTGGATGACTCTTAACTTCCTACTTCTCAACCCGGAGAAGACAGAAGTGATCCTACTCGGTCCGAAGCGCCTGCGTGACTCCCTCACTAACCAGATGGTTACTCTCGATAATGTCAGTATAATACCCAGTAACACTGTGAGGAATCTTGGAGTCATTTTTGACCAAGAACTCTCCTTCAAGGCTTATATAAGCCAAGCAACTAAAACGGCGTACTTCCACTTACGGAACATCGCTAAAATTAGGAATTTCCTTCCTAAAAGTGACGCGGAAAAACTCATTCACGCGTTTGTCACCTCAAGGCTCGACTGTAACGCTTTACTGGCAGCGTGCCCTAAAGCCTCTTTGAAGAGCTTCCAGCTTGTTCAGAATACAGCAGCTAGGATCTTAACAGGTACCAAAAGGAGGGAGCACATAACTCCGGTGTTAAAATCACTCCACTGGCTCCCTGTGGAGTACAGAATAAAGTTTAAAATCCTACTCTTAACATATAAAGCCATAAATGGCTTGGCTCCTTCTTATCTCCAAGACACGTTAGTGTCGTATCAACCAGGTCGAGCGTTGCGCTCACAAAACGCCAGACGTCTGGTGGTCCCTAAGGTCTCAAAGGTCACTGTTGGTGGCAGAGCATTTAGCTACCAAGCTCCTTTACTGTGGAATCAGCTTCCCATTTATGTTAAGGAAGCAGATACGGTCTCCACATTCAAGGCCAGGCTTAAAGCACTTTACTTTAATTTAGCATATAATTAGGTAATATATAATATATGGTGTATATATTATATATGTATAGCTGTATTATGTTATATATTATGTTATATATTATACAATAATGTATTGTGTTATGTTGTATATTATGTTATATATTATGCTGTATGTTATTCTTTATTCAAGGCTAGGTTTAAAACAGTCCTCTTTAGTTTAGCATATGGCTAGGAAGGTAAGACTCGGAGAAGGTTAAACTCCTCAGAGTGTTAGTCAAGCTGCATAGGGAGTCAGTTTGCTGGGAGAAGTATGGTAACTTGAGCACTATCCTCTCCTCCTTCCTACTTTATCTGTTTAGCATTTTTAGGATTCTGACTGTAGTTTGTTCATTGCTATTCACCCGTTGTCCCATTGTCTGTTTCATGGTACGATGACGGGATCTCTGAGCCTGGCCTCTTCCATCTACACCTGCGGACTGCCCCGCCCGACCCGCCTGGGAGTGCTTCAGTCCTGCACCGGACCTGTCCACGTTCAGCGTCCACTGGTCCACGTTCTGTAGCTAGCTTAGGTCCTGGATCATTAGTCTGTCCGTCCGGAGGAGCGGATCCCTTTCTCATATGGGTCTCCCTCCCTGTGGGTTTCCCTAGTTCTCCTCCAAGGTTTCTCACTTTTTCCCACTGGGTTTTTTAAGAGTTTTTCCTTGTCGATGCAGGAGGGTCTTGTTGGACAGTTAGTGTCCAACAGAAAGGATTGGTGATGATCAGGACACTTTAGCATTCTACAACATGTATGGACATTTTCTTCTGTGTGTGCTTTATACTGTATTCTTCATGTGTTTTAACTGTTGATTCTCTGACCTGTGTTGGTGATTTCAATGGTTTTGTTAAGTCCTCTGAGATGACTTCTGTTGTGACCTAGGGCTATACAAGAATAAATTGTATTGTATTGTATTGTATTGTACACTGTGGTACACTGTGGTACCTGTGGTACACTGTGGTACACTGTGGTACCTGTGGTACACTGTGGTACACTGTGGTACCTGTGGTACACTATGGTACACTGTGGTACCTGTGGTACCTGTGGTACACTGTGGTACACTTTGGTACACTATGGTACACTATGGTACACTGCGGTACACTGTGGTACCTGTGGTACACTGTGGTACCTGTGGTACACTGTGGTACACTATGGTACCTGTGGTAGACTGTGGTACCTGTGGTACACTGTGGTACACTATGGTACCTGTGGTACACTGTGGTACCTGTGGTACACTGTGGTACACTATGGTACCTGTGGTACACTGTGGTACACTGTGGTACCTGTGGTACACTGTGGTACACTGTGATACACTGTGGTACCTGTGGTACACTGTGGTACACTGTGGTACCTGTGGTACACTGTGATACACTATGGTACCTGTGGTACACTGTGGTACACTGTGGTACCTGTGGTACACTGTGGTACACTGTGGTACACTGTGGTACCTGTGGTACACTGTGATACACTATGGTACCTGTGGTACACTGTGGTACACTGTGGTACCTGTGGTACACTGTGGTACACTGTGGTACACTGTGGTACCTGTGATACACTGTGGTACACTGTGGTACACTGTGATACACTATGGTACCTGTGGTACACTGTGGTACACTGTGGTACCTGTGGTACACTGTGGTACCTGTGGTACCTGTGGTACACTATGGTACACTGTGGTACACTGTGGTACCTGTGGTACACTGTGGTACCTGTGGTACACTGTGGTACACTATGGTACCTGTGGTACACTGTGGTACACTGTGGTACACTATGGTACCTGTGGTACACTGTGGTACACTGTGGTACACTTTGGTACACTGTGGTACACTTTGGTACACTGTGGTACACTGTGGTACACTATGGTACCTGTGGTACACAGTGGTACACTGTGGTACACTATGGTACCTGTGGTACCTGTGGTACACTGTGGTACACTATGGTGCCTGTGGTACACTTTGGTACACTGTGGTACACTTTGGTACCTGTGGTACACTGTGGTACACTGTGGTACCTGTGGTACACTGTGGTACACTGTGGTACACTATGGTACCTGTGGTACCTGTGGTACACTGTGGTACACTGTGGTACACTGTGGTACACTATGGTACCTGTGGTACCTGTGGTACACTGTGGTACTTTATGGTACCTGTGGTACCTGTGGTACACTGTGGTACACTGTGGTACACTATGGTACACTGTGGTACACTATGGTACCTGTGGTTCACTGTTGTACACTAAGGTACTCTATGGTACCAATTGTACCTGAGACACACTATGGAACCTGTGCTGCACGGTGGTACCTTGGGTCCCAGAAGTCCAGGTTGGTCCTCCAGAACATGATATAACTCCTTCAGAGCTGCTCTCAGAAAGTGTCTCTTTTCTCTGTGAGCGGCACCACTAAAACAAACATAACATTATATATATATATATATATATATATATATTATATAACACACACAAAGTTACTCACAGTTACTTACAGAGTTACTCACAGAGTTACTCACAGAGTTACTCACAGTTACTTACAGAGTTACTCAGAGTTACTCACAGAGTTACTGACAGAGTTACTCACAGAGTTACTCACAGTTACTTACAGAGTTACTCACAGTTACTTACAGAGTTACTTACAGAGTTACTCTGTGGCTCTCACCTGTGCAGTAGAACATGATCACGACACTCTCTGATGTCGGCCACTCGCTTGTTGTACCTGAGGACACACCAGAGGATGTCAGTAACACACATATGTTATATTTAATATATGCTACATATGATATAATCTTACTATTATATTGTATAGTTTTATATAATATATAATAATACATAACATAGTGTGAACCCTTTGATGCTGTTGAACAGTTCCTCCATGACCTTTTACATACATATGTTATATGTTTTAAATAAAATGTAATATATGTTATAAATTATATAAAGTAATATTATATAATATAGTTTTACATATATTCAGTATGTTATATAAATGATAAAATGTATGTATAATGTTATATAACATATTTTTAACCCTTTGATGCTGTCGAACAGTTCCTCCGTGACCTTGTGGACGTTCAGGACCTCGTCTCTCGTCAGAGTCACGAACAAACTGCTGCGAAGTGACATCTTCCACAGCCCCAAAGCATCATGGGAGTTTAGACTGCTGTGACACAACAAGGAGCCCACTACACACACACACACACACACACACACACACACAGACACACACATAGACACACACACACACACAGACATACACACACACACACACACACACACACAGACACACACACACACACACACACACACACAGACACACACACACACACACACACGCACACACACACACACACACACACACACACACACACACACACACACACACACACAGACACACACACACACACACACACACTACAATAAGCTTCTATGGATCTTTTATGACACTTTGGATGTTGCTTAAAGATGCAGTCAGTGATTTTTTCCAGATGCATTAAACGTCCCTAAACCCTAAAAGTATAAAGTTTTCATGTGTTTTCAAATAGAAATGGAACTGACCAGATGTTGTAGTCTCCAAAAATTAATAACACATATTTTGGAGCGGACCGATAAAAATAAACCAATGAGATTTGTTCATCCCCAACGAACCAATGGTTTACCCTCTTCCTGTTTCTCGCATCTGAATTATCGGATTATTTTCTAAACCTACCACTGATAAACCGGTACATTCCTCATCAACACTCCACTGCTGCTCCAGCACGGACCCCCCTCTCCCCGCCTCCCTCTACTTCTCCATCTCCCTCCCTCCCTCCCTCTCACTCCCTATTGTCTTTCCGGCTTAACCGCTCCCTGACCCCGCCCCCTCTGACAGCCACATTGGCCGGCAGTCGGAGGTGTTCATCCCAAGAAAAAACTCTGTGTTTTACACAAAGCACACTGTGTCTATGCTGTGTGTTATTGCTCTTGCTGTTTCTTGCTTGCACAGAGCGCCGCAAATGGCGAAGTGGCACGCTTACTGCCAAAACAATTTCCAAGTGGTAACTTTTGTTTGTTACTTACGTGGCAATACAAATTATTCTGATTCTGATATATATATATGTATATATATATATATCAGAATCAGAATCAGAATAATTGTTATTGCCACGTAGGTAACAGGAAGTCACAGACTTGGAAATTGCTTTGGCTCAGTGCAACAGCCAGAGAGAGATAATAAAAATAAGAATAAAAAACACTTCTAAGGAAAAAATTAAAATCTAAAATAGAGTTACAGTTACTATTTACAATATCCAAGTGCACATGGTGCACACAATGTACAGTAAGGTGACAGCAGTACAGTGAAGTAAAGTGACGTATGATGGGCAGTAAAGTGACTTTATAAAGGGCGGGGGGACAGGTTAAGAAGTGTTCAAGAGTCCAACAGCAGAGGGGAAGAAACTGTTCTTGTGGCGGGAGGTTCTAGTCCTGATGGACCGCAGCCTCCTGCCTGAGGGGAGTGGTTGGAATAGTCCATGTGCAGGTGAGAGGGGAGTGGTTGGAATAGTCCATGTGCAGGTGAGAGGGGAGTGGTTGGAATAGTCCATGTGCAGGTGAGAGGGGAGTGGTTGGAACAGTCCATGTGCAGGGTGAGAGGGGAGTGGTTGGAATAGTCCATGTGCAGGTGAGAGGGGTCGGCTGTGATACGACCAGCCCGGCCTCGAGCTCGGGCGACGTACAGGTCCTGCAGCGATGGAAGGCTGCGGCCGATCACTTCCTCTGCAGAGCGCACAATGCACTGTAGTCTCTGTTTGTCCCTGACTGTGGCTCCAGCGAACCACACGGTGACGGAGGAGGTGATGGAGGAGGTGATGGAGGAGGTGCTGGAGGAGGTGAAGGAGGAGGTGAAGGAGGAGGTGATGGAGGAGGTGCTGGAGGAGGTGAAGGAGGAGGTGATGGAGGAGGTGATGGAGGAGGTAATGGAGGAGGTGATGGAGGAGGAGACGGAGGAGGTGACGGAGGAGGTGATGGAGGAGGTCAACATCTGTGCAGGCAGCTTGGCTTTCCTGAGCTGCCGCAGGAAGTACATCCTCTGCTGGGCCTTCTTGATGAGGGAGCTGATGGTCGGCTCCCACTTGAGGTCCTGGGTGATGGTGGTGCCCAGGAAACGGAAGGACTCCACAGAGGTGATGGGGGAGTCCATCACGGAGGGTGGGGGCGGGGGGACAGTGCTCTTCCTGAAGTCCACAATCATCTCCACTGTCTTCTGGGCGTTCAGCTCCAGGTTGTTACCACTGCACCAGGACACCAGCCGGTCTACCTCCCTCCTGTAGGAGACACCAGGACACCAGCCGGTCCACCTCCCTCCTGTAGGCGGACTCATCGTTGTTGGAGATGAGTCCAATGAGGGTGGTGTCGTCCGCGAACTTGATCAGCTTCACAGAGTCGTGGCTGGAGGTGCAGTGGTTGGTGTACAGGGAGAAGAGCAGGGGAGAAAGAACACAGCCCTGTGGGGCTCCTGTATTTTTAATCCGAGAGTACGAGACATTCTTCCCCAGACGCACTCGCTGCTTCCTGTCCGTCAGGAAGTCAGTGATCCACCTGCAGGTGGAATCGGGCACGTTGAGCTGGGAGAGCTTGTCCTGGAGCAGGGATGGCAAGATTGTGTTGAAGGCAGAGCTGAAGTCCACGAACAGGACCCTGGCGTAGGTCCCCGGGGAGTCCAGGTGCTGTAGGATGTGGTGGAGGGCCAGGTTAATGGCGTCGTCTACAGATCTGTTGGCTCTGTAGGCGAACTGCAGGGGGTCCAGGAGGGGGGAGGTGAGGGACTTGAGATGGGAGAGAACCAGGCGTTCAAATGACTTCATGACGACAGACGTAAGTGCTACAGGTCTGTAGTCGTTGAGTCCTGTGATCCTGTGAACATCGTTACACCAGTTTGTATTGACGTAGAAACACAGCCCACCGCCTCTGCTCTTCCCCGAGAGCGCACAATGGCGATCCGTGTGGAACAGCCCAAAGCCCTGCAGCTCCAGAGCGCAGTCCGGGATCCGCTCATTTAGCCAGGTCTCAGTGAAGCAGAGGACACAGAGGACACCAGGTCTCAGTGAAGCAGAGGACACAGAGGACACCAGGTCTCAGTGAAGCAGAGGACACAGAGGACACCAGGTCTCAGTGAAGCAGAGGACACAGGATGAAGTCCTTGTTTCTTCTCATGTGCAGGCTGAGTTCGTCTTATTGCCCAGTGAGCGTACGTTGGACAGAAAAATGCCGGGGAGAGGCTCCTCTCCTCCTCAGACGCACGAGCAGCCTCCGTGCTTTCCCCTTTTACGGGCCCACACTTTTTTGGCTAGAACATGGACTAAATCAGCCGCAGATGCCAAGAAAACAGGCAATAGGTCCATGGGGACGGTGGGTCGGATGTTCATAAGTTCCTCACGGGTGTAGGAACAGCCAGATGCACAGTTAAAAAGTAAAAACAAAAGAAGAAGAGAGCAGCAAAGAGCCATGTCGACCGTACGAGGCGCCATCTCAAAACAGGTCCTTTAAATAGTCTGAAATACAGGAGGGCATTAAATCTGTTGGATTTGTTTAAAACCATCAAAGGGACCATGAAGGGACCATGAAGAGACCATAAAGGGACCATGAAGGGACCATGAAGGGACCATGAAGGGACCATGACGGGGCCATGACGGAGCCATGACGGACCATGACGGGACCATGAAGGGACCATGAAGGGACCATGAAGAGACCATAAAGGGACCATGAAGGGACCATGAAGGGACCATGACGGGGCCATGACGGAGCCATGACGGACCATGACGGGACCATGACGGGACCATGAAGGGACCGTGACAGGACCATGACGGGACCATGACGGGACCATGACGGGACCATGACGGAACCATGACAGGACCATGAAGGGACCGTGACGGAGCCATGACAGGGCCATGACGGACCATGACGGGACCATGACGGGACCATGAAGGGACCGTGACAGAGCCATGACGGGGCCATGACGGACCATGACGGGACCATGACGGGACCATGACGGGGCCATTACGGAACCATGAAGGGACTATGATGGAGCTGTGACGGGGCCATGACGGGACTATGAAGGGACCATGACGGAACCATGAAGGGACCATGACGGGGCCTTGACGGGACCATGACGGAGCCATGACGGGGCCATGACGGGACCATGAAGGGACCATGACGGGACCATGAAGGGACCATGAAGGGACCATGACGGGGCCATGACGGGACCATGAAGGGACCATGACAGAGCCATGACAGGGCTATGACGGGACCATGACAGGACCATGACGGGGCCATGACGGGACCATGACGGGACCATGAAGGGACCATGACAGGGCCATGACGGGACCCTGACGGGACCATGACGGGACCATGAAGGGACCATGATGTGCAGAAGAGAAATATATCTTATTAAAATCCAGTAGATGTTGTGAAGCTCTTACCCACAATCCACCTCTCCATCACCTCCAGGGGCAGGTATTCACACGCCATCTGCAAACAGGAAGTACAGGAAGTTCAGGAAGTACAGGAGGTACAGGAAGTACAGGAAGTACAGGAGGTACAGGAAGTACAGGAAGTACAGGAAGTACATTAGGTACAGGAGGTTGTCACTCCCGTATTCGTCCCGGAAACCGGATTTGTCCGGAAGTTCAGTTTGATCCAATGAGCATACGCAGCAGAAGATTACGTCAAGGAATCTGGACGGAAGCGGAAGTAAGTAAAAAACTACCTGTTCATGCCTAAACTTAACCAGCCATTCCCATAAAATAACCCCAACCCTTAACCCTAAACTTAACCATCTTACTCAGGCCACCTAAACCCTAAACTTAACCATCTTACCCGGACCACCTTAACCCTAAACTTAACCATCTTACTCAGACCACCTTAACCCTAAACTTAACCATCTTACTCAGGCCACCTAAACCCTAACCTTAACCATCTTACCCGGACCACCTTAACCCTAAACTTAACCATCTTACTCAGACCCACCTTAACCCTAACCTTAACCATCTTACCCGGACCACCTTAACCCTAAACTTAACCATCTTACTCAGACCACCTTAACCCTAACCTTAACCATCTTACTCAGACCACCTTAACCCTAAACTTAACCATCTTACTCAGACCACCTTAACCCTAAACTTAACCATCTTACTCAGGCCACCTAAACCCTAACCTTAACCATCTTACCCGGACCACCTTAACCCTAAACTTAACCATCTTACTCAGACCACCTTAACCCTAAACTTAACCATCTTAATCAGACCACCTTAACCCTAAACTTAACCATCGTAATCAGACCCACCTTAACCCTAACCTTAACCATCTTACTCAGACCACCTTAACCCTAAACTTAACCATCTTAATCAGACCACCTTAACCCTAACCTTAACCATCTTACTCAGACCCACCTTAACCCTAACCTTAACCATCTTACTCAGACCACCTTAACCCTAACCTTAACCATCTTACTCAGACCACCTTAACCCTAACCTTAACCATCTTACTCAGACCCACCTTAACCCTAAACTTAACCATCTTACTCAGACCACCTTAACCCTAAACTTAACCATCTTACTCAGACCACCTTAACCCTAAACTTAACCATCTTACTCAGACCCACCTTAACCCTAACCTTAGCCATCTTACTCAGACCACCTTAACCCTAAACTTAACCATCTTACTCAGACCACCTTAACCCTAAACTTAACCATCTTACTCAGACCACCTTAACCTTAACCATC